TGGATAATTAATAACAACTGAGGAAATAATCTGAGCTATACGATTTATTAGCAAAACAGGCATAATAAATGGGTCAATGGATTCCCTAGTCAGTCCAAAGACCCTGAAATACAGAGTGAGGCAGATTTTTATGTACTAAAAACAATAACTCAAAGTTTTTTTGGGTAGCTTAGTTGCGTTTGACTTTTTGTGACCCTATTTGGGGTTTTCTTGGCAGAGATACTGGTGTAGCTTGCCATTTCCTTCTCCAGCTCATTTGACAGATGAGGAAACTGAGGCAAAGAGGGTTAAGTGACTTGCCCAGAGTGACACAGCTAGTAAGTGTCTGAGGCCAGATTTGAACAAACTCAGGTCCTCCTGACTCCAGGGCCAGTTCTCGGTCCACCTCACCACCTAGCTGCACCATTAATCAAATAAAGCCAATTAATTAAAAGAAAACAATTAATCAGGATACAAAATTAGGTAATCTGGTTTCTAATTAGAGGAAAGATTAGGTACTTTCCAAATTGGGAAGGGGAGAACAAACAGGTGCAATTCCCTGAATTCAGAAAAGGAGGTGTCCCACTCCCCAAAGTGTCTGTGCACAATCAAAGGAACATGGAAACAATAACCAAATGACCAGTATGGGGCCAGCTTTCAGATAAGAGCCATGGGCTGCCTGAGATGTGCAACTGGGAGAAAACTCCTTGCATTGATCTTTGGATCTGACAGGGTTTCTGGTCAACATAACCGAGGTCCTTGGTTAAGGGTTTCTAAGCAGCAGGTAGAGGTGGTCCAGTGTCCCAGCTACTCAGGACTAGGTTCAAACAATGCAGTAAAGTTTTCTCATAAGACAGAAATTGAACTAGACCCATAATTCAATAAAAAAAAAAAGGAACTGAGCTAGATCCAGAATTGAGTCACAAGATGGAGTCGGTGTGGTTCACTCAATTCCCACAATTCCTTCCGAAGGGACTTTGAAGGCATCTAGTCAATCTCCTCTTTTTACAGATGAGGAACGGCCCAGAGAGTGTGAGTGTCTAAACCAAGGTCACATAGGTAATTAGTAGCAGGGCTGAAATTCCAATTCAAGTTCTTTGAGTCCAAATGCAGCACTCTTTCCATTGGACCACATTGCCCCCTCCCATCTCAGAGAATGCCTCCACCCTAGTGGACACTACTCTAGTGCGTCATTATGGTCCAGGAATGACTCTGGGCTTTTGAAGGCTCTGTCAGTGGACATCTAACTCTGACAGGTCCTAACCAAGCAAGAAAGGCTGATCTGGTATCTGAAGACCAGCCGGGTTGGGTTCAGAGAAGCTCATTACTAGGTTAGTTGCTGAGGGGTCTGGGATGCACTTTTCAACCACAGTAATTCTTAAAGACCACCTACTCAGTTGTAGAGGAGTTGAGAGGGGCAGCAATGGATAGTGATCCAATTATGTTTTATCCTCTCAGTAGATCACCAGTGAGCTGTCCAAGGTCATACAACTAATTGGGCAGGGCCAGAGCTGGGATTCAAACCCAAGGTTCAGACTCTCAGTTCATGAGTATTGGCACTATAGACCAGCTTTGGGTGGGACTAGGGGAACCTATCTAGCTGTTGGTGCCCCTCTCTATGGATATTAATGTAAAGATAGTCAACAACTCATCCAAATACTTGCACTTTCCAGGGAAGGAGCTATGCTAAGGTTTGCCAGCAGCTTAGAACACGGCACCCAATACAATCTCTAGTGCCAAGAGCGGGCAGGGGTTCTTTGATTCCCGAATCCTGACTTTGTCATGTTTTCTTCATATTTGCCCAGAAGTAGCTCTCATGTCACTGGTGCCCTTAGGCACACGACCTCCTGTCCTGATCCTTTCCCCTCCCAAGTAGGGAGATCCTGGCACCTGACACCTAGGCACATCTCTCCATGAGCAAGGCAAAAAGGGGAAGAAGGCAGCTCCCCATATCACCCCTTATTCAGCCTCAGGTCCAACATCTGTAAAATGGGAATAACAGCATCTATGTGAAATTGTGATTGCCTGTTGACATATCTCACAGTGCTGTTGTGCAGATTAAATGAGATAACGTAGGAAAAACACTACAAAGCCACCATATAAATGTTAGCTATTATCTACCTGGCTATTTACATGTTACCTGTCATATTAGATTCTAGGCTTCTTGAGAGCAGGATGTTTTTGCCTTTCTTAGTATCCCCAGAATTTAGCACAGTGCACAGAGCAAGTACTCAATAAATGCTTATTGACTTGACTTGACTTCATCAAGTCTCTCCCCTACAGCCTGCAATTTCTCCCTATTACCTATGCCAACCAAATTCAAACTTCTCTAAGGAATGCTCTCTCCTGACCCTGTCTAACTTGGACATTGAGGGCTTTTGTTTGGAAGGCAAGCTTCTTCCTGATTGGCCAGCAGGGGTCTGCTCTGTGCCTGGCCAGGCAGAGGAAGGCAGGAACAGGCTTGCCCACCATCTCGAGGGAAACCACTGGGTGACTATTTTCCCCTATGCCAAGGGAAAGAAGGGGACATAGGCCAGGGGAGAACAGATGGAGAAACAAGGCCAGGACTAAGGAAGGGGAACTAACTGCCCTGGACTTATAATCACAGTAGTAATAAGATTTGGCCCTTGCAAAGCTCTTTACAATACACATGTGGTCTTCAATGCCAATGACCTGACCAAGTTATTTTAAGTTTCAATGATGCCTATTGTACAGATGAGGAAAATTAGGTTTAAAGGATAAGTCAGTTGCCTAGGGTGACTTGGCTGGGATGACCTAGAGCTCTTCTGGGTATAAGTCCACTGCCCCTTCCCCTCTGCCAAGCCCTTTCAATAGCTCTGGTAAAACCTGGGGTTGTGGGAGGGAAACTGATGAAATCAAAATTCATAACTGGAGTAAAGATGTGATACCACACAGGAACCTTCATTTAGGGCAAACTGAACAAGGTGCCTGGAAGACAGATCATACCTGATTCTCTGGAGAGACCGTCCATCTCCATTATCACAGCTGATCGGAAGAGCACAGACAATGACCCTGCAGGGGTTATCTATCTTCCTGCTTCTGGGGAGAATTCTTCCTCTCCTAGTTCAGAGTGCTTATGGGAACATTACCTACTCAGAAAGATCTCAGAGAAAGGATATTTCTACTCCCTCATTCACTCGTTCATTAATTCAATTCTTTATTAAGCACCTAATGTGTACAAAGCACTGTGATGAGTACTAGGGGTCTATAAAGATAACAAAACTAGGCCCAGCTTTCATTAAGTTTATCCTATCATCAGTCGATCAACACGTATTTAATATGCCAACCACAAGAGATATAAAAACAAAAATGAAACCACCCCTGCCTTCAAAGAGCTTGAATTCTTTTGAAACAACATGTATATAAATAAGCACATATACCATATACACAAAATATTCATAAATGCTTGAGCATGTACCATGACTGTGATACCCAGGAAATGTTTTCTCTCATGTCCCCTCAATGTCTCCTTCGGCGCAGGGAGTACTGGGGTCTATTTTTGTCCACAGCTATATTACTGCTTTGTTCCTCTCCTTCTCTTCTGACCCTGAGCAGAGGAGACTTTGGGAACATATGGATTTTCTTTCAGTCAGGAGGTTCAACTGTTTCCCGTGTTCCCAGAGTGGTGCCCGGCTCTAATGCACCACCTCCCTGCCTAACCCAGCAATGAGCTCTGCGGCTATCTTCGGGGAGTTATCATAGTCTAGTGACTTCTGTTTCCCCAGCTATAAAATGGTAGGGTTGATGTAGCACTGTGGAAAAGATATGGGATTTGGAAGCAGAAGACCTTGCTCCTAATTCTGGCCCTGGTTCAGATTGCAGACCTAAGATTTGACCTCAAGTAACCTATATCACTTCTCTGGGCCTTGGTTTCCACATTTGCAAAAATGAAGTGATTAGTAGACTAGATACCCTCAGAGGTCCCTTTTGGCTCTAAATCCATGACCTTGTATCTAGACAATAATTACTGCTTGAATAATGTTTTAAAGTTTGCAAAATACTTTGTCTATTATCTCATTTGACCCTCATAATAACCCTATGAGTCTAGTACCATAGGTGTTCCATTGACAGATGAGGAAATTGAGGCTCAGAACGGTGATGTGCCTAGACTGTGATCAGTCAGTGTCAGGAGCAGAATTTGAACCCAGGAATTCCTGACTCCCAGTCTAACATGCTATCTCCTGTATCAGACTGCCTTACTTAGATGATCTCTACAGTCCCTTCTAATATTTTATGAGACCTACCCTTTCTGCATGGCTTGATTTGAGATCTAGGCTTAAGCTTAGAAGGTAGGGAGGCATGAGGGAGGGAAGGAAGGAGAAAAGCTGGCCTCTCTCTGTTCCCTCCCCTTGGAGATGAGAAAGTGCTCACTCAGCAGGTACTGTCAGAAGGGCACAGGGTCCAGGTTTGGGGGAGTCAGGCAGAGGGCAGGGGGAAGGAGAGAAAAGGTCATGGCAGGACATTGTGTATGAGGCACACTATGTATATGGGGGGGGGTTGTGGGGAGAGAGAGTCTGGCACAACCATCTCCTATAGGGCCAAAGCTAACCACCCGAGTCTGAAGCAGAGCCTACTCCAGAGCAGTCCAGAACAGAACAGTAGCTGTAATTAATTAAGAACTGGAGAAGGCACTTTGCCTTGCAAGGAGAGTACTAGAAAAAAAGGAAATCACAGGATCCGGGGGCTGTCAGATCCCCACCATCCACTTTCACCCCCATCACATCAACAGGACTTAGTCTCTGGCTAACAAGTTAGTTAGCATCCCTTCCTGACTCCAGGCCTTGTTTCTCCATCTGTTCTTCTCTGGGCTGCACCCCCTTCTTTCCCTTGGCATAACAAGAAAGATAGTCACCTAGTGGTTCACCTCGAGGGCGAGCCTGTTCCTGCCTTCCTCTGCCTGGCCAGGCACAGAGCAGACCCCTGCCCACCAATCAGGAAGAAGCTTGCCTTCCAAACAAAGGCATTCAATGTCCAAGGTCTTTCCTCTGCCCTGGAGGGCCCAAGCACGGATCAGGAGAACCAGGGAGAAGAGTGGGTGCTGCATGTATCCCTAATAAGACTGTAAGTCCTAAGAAAGGGAGGGGGGCTGGGGCAATGGTAGGGGCTTTTTTTTTTTAACAGGAGTTTGGAAAACCTTTTCCTGAAGAGGGTGCAGAGGGCAGCAGAGAACAGAGTCCCTAGAACTATAGAGGAAATAAATGCAACCTTAAAAGGCAGCTCCGTCTCATCCCAGCCAGAGTGGGAGACTCCCAGGCAAGAAACCTGACCCTGGGAGGGGACTGGCTCCAAGGACCTATTTGCTTCCTAAGCCCCCCTTTCTCAGGTACAGGATCACTGCCAAAGGATAGGAACTTCATCCTTCTGTTCCCTTCCCTAACCCCACTCCTCCCTTCCCTGGGGGTCCTAATCCAAAGATCAGTAGGGAATCTCAGAATCCTACAGTATTAAAACTGGATGGAACCATAGAGACCCTGTAGCCCCCTACCCTTATTTTATAGATAAGGAAACAAGGGGCTGAGAAAGATGAAGTGATTTATCCAAGTCCAATTTGTTTTCTGAAAACCCAGATAGGACTGGGATGAATCAGAATTACAATAAATAGGCCAGGGGAGAGGGATGTCTAGGAATCCAGACATCCAGGGAATACAGAGGCCCCTACCTAGACTGAGGCTTTGGAGGACTGTGATGAGAGGGCTTTGTATGCCAAACCCCTTAATCACAACTACTCAGAGAAGCAACAAAGCCAGCCTGAAGAAACCAGGGCAAGGACTGAACTGAATGGCCATATATCTTTGATGCTGGAAAGTAACCCTCTTTCTAGGCAATGGGAAAAAGTTTTAGGGATCACAATGGGACTCAGACATTATTTTCCCACCCCAAACACACAAGCAATGTGGTATTGTGAGCCTTTCCCTGTCTCAAACCCTAAGGACATCTTCTCAGCCCTATCCTATAGGCGAAATGGAATAATTGTGTAATTCCTTCCTTCGATCACAGATTTAGAGCTGCAAGGGACCTCAAAAGTCATCCAGTGCAACCCCCTCCTCTTACAGATGAACACACTGAAGCCTGAAGAGGCGAGGAGAATTGCCTAATTCCCCTCTCTCAAAATCTCCATCTCAGCCCCAGTTGTCCTATCTCTGTTACTGGCTCTTGGTTCTGCTCACTCAGGGCACTATAATGGAATGTGCAAATACTCAGAGTGCTTGGAGGGGGAGGGGAAGGCACGGGAAATCTCACGTGGAGCTGACACAGGATGGACAGGGCAAGGTGTCAGTGAGTCACAGAGCCAGGCCCCATTGTCAAGGAACCACTGAGGGCCGGAGGAACTGGAGGCAGAGGAGAGGGGCAGTCCTTGAGAAGTGGCCCCAGTGGACCTTTGCTGTTGGGGGCTGACCTCCCCTCCACCCAATACCTGCTCTTGGAGCCCTCCTACACAACAATTAATTGCACAAATCAGATATGATCGATCCCTAAACTCATGAATCCTAGCTATGCAGACCCATTTCCCATTTCCCCTTCTCATCAATCTGCATAGTTCTCATACTGAGGCCTGGGTGTCCGGAGATGGAATAGAGGAAACCAGAAAGAGGCTATGTAACAGCGTTCTCCCTCCAATGTGGGTTTTTAGTTATAACATCCCCCCTCTCTAATCATCCCCTGCCACCAGATCATCTCCTGGGACAAGGAAGACTTTTCTCCCACCCCTTGACAGAAGAGAAAGCTCTCCTCTCAAAGGAGACTCCAATTGGAGACATGCAACTCTGATTCCTAACCTGCCTCTCCCCACTCCACTTCCCACACATTCAGTCCTTAAACCATGTCGACTTAGAATTCCCAAACCACACATTTCCTCCAGAACCAACTACCCCTCACACCCTTCCAGCCCCTAACACTAACCCTTTGCCTGCTGGCTGGAGGTGAGAGGTGGGGCATTCATCCCTTTTCCACATTACCAGCAGACATTCCCTGAGGAAGAATAGGCCAACCAGGCTCGGAAGTCTCCCCCTTGCGCTCTAAACTAAGTTTAGTTACAAAGGGCAGCAAGGCAATCCCCAAAGCCCTTGACCCCCCCCCCCCAAGCAGTACCTCATTGCCCCCAACACATATCCTCAGCTCCTCAAGGCTCAGACAGAGCATTTGGCCAGACAGAGCTCAGGCCTTGGGCTCCCTTCTATGTGGCTCTCTAGTCCAGATGCCTGGGTCCCCTGGGTTCATAAAGGGATCCCTGACCCGAAGTCCTTCTCCAGAAGAAGGACACGTAAAGCCTGTTGAGGGGAGTTTTAAAAAGCAACAACAAACTTTGCTTTGAGGATGGTGATGGGAGTCCAAGGGCTACTAAAGCGGCCCGGACACCTGAGTTCGATTTGCAGAATCCTTGAATTGAGGAGGGTAAGAGCAATGGAGTGGGGAGAGGGGGTATCTAAACGTGAGAAAATGCCCTTGCTCTTACTCCTGACCTCCTGGAATTTGGGGCGGCTGCGCTCTCCGGCGGCGCTCCCCCCGCCCCATGCCACTCACAGTGTGCGTCTTCTCTGCCTCTCCTTCCACCCCACGCCCCAAGGCAGAGAGCAGCGCGGCCCCTTTAAGAGTTCCTCCGCTGTACCTTGCTCCGTTTACACCGCGGGCAGTACCCCCTCCTTCCCCTGCAAACATTCCCCTACCCCACCCCCAGTGCACCCCGGGCGGGCTAGCCGGACCGAACGCGCAGCTCGCAGGGCAGGACTTACCGCTCCGCGCCCCGGCTCCGGCTCCCTGCCTGGGCTGTGTGGAAGACGGGAGGAGGTCCGAGGAACTCAGTGCCCTGCGCCCTGCTGCTCTCCCCACCCTGGCACGGCGGCTGCTTCCCCTGCTCAGGAAAGGTGAGCAGCTCCCAAGAGAAGCTGCAACCTGAGCCGGAGGGGGAGGAGGGAAGGAAAGAGGGAGGGGAAGGGGACGGTCGGGAAGGGGAGGAGGAAAGGGAAAAGCCCAGCCCCCGGCCGGAGTTTTTCACTTGTCCAAGTTGACTCCTCCCCCTACCCAACCTCCTGCCGGCCCTGCCCTCTGCCGCTGCCAATCCCCAGGACTAGCTCTGCCCAGGTGCCCACCCCCCTCCTTCTAGCTCTGAGAACTCAGAGACCGCAGCTAGCCTGAAAGATCACGTGGTCCATCCTCCTCATTTTACCGAGAGCCCCAGAAAAGGAAAGTGATTTACCCAAGGTCACACAGTTGAAAGCAGAGTTAGGACTCGAATCCAGGGTCCTGCCTACACCATGCTGCTGTCCCTCAAGGTACTTCTGAAATAGGTAGTTTCTGTTGTGTCCCCACCAATATTCTACTGGTTCCCTTCTCCCTGTGATGTTGGTCAGCCCAATCCACCCCAGCTAGAGGTGTATCACCATGACCTCCTGGCATGTCCTGTTCTCCCATCCCTCGGTCCTTCCCAAGCCCAACTGAGCAAACCACTTTAGTTTAGAGGCGGGCTTCTGCTCTGCTGTATTCGAAAAGTAAAGAATATTCACCATTATAATAGCTAGCATTTATAGAGTGCTTTTAGGTTTGCAGAGCTTTACAAAAGTCACCTCATTTATCCTCACAATAACCCTGGGAGGTAAGTGCTATTATTATCCCCACTTTACAGATGAGGAAGCTGAGGCAGAAGGGGGGGGGGCGGCGGGGATGACTTGTCCACTTACTATAGCTAGTAAGAGGCTGAGGCAGGATTTGAGCTGAGATCTTGATTCCAGGTCCAGCCTTCTATCCACTGCCGCCTAGCTGTCAACTAGAAAAATTATAAACCTGAAAATCAGTAGTTTATTGTGTTCAGTCATGTGGTGACCCCATTCCCTGGGATTTTCTTGGCAAAGATACTGTAGTGGTTTGCCATTTCTTTTTCCAGCTCATTTTACAGATGAGGAAACTAAGGCAAACAGGGTTAAGTGACTTGCCCAGAGTCACACAGCTAGTAAGTGTCTGAGGCTGGATTTGAATTCAGGTCTTCCTAACTCCAAGGCTGGTCCTCTATCCATGCACCACTTAGCTGTCCCAAGTGAGCAACATATTCTGCAAACCTTAAAGGAATATATAATTTGAGTGATTATTAATGAAGAGAAAACCAGCTCAGGTTAGGAACAGCAGAACAAATGGACTAATGTGGAAAGATGAAGTTACAGCATAAATCTGGTCATATTTTAGTACTGGTTCCTCTTTTAACCTGGTGAAAGGAGGAAGTTATAGTGACCTGGTCAAATGAAAGTTGGCACCTAGGACTAGGTGTCCTGTGCCCTCTGCCCCAGTGGGGGAGGGCTCCTTGTAACCTTGGGGCTGTGACTAGAAGGGATCTCTTCCAGAGGGGTCTACAATGTGGGGGCTGTTCCTGCCAACACACTTTGTCCAACATTTGCTGAGCCCCAGTTTTCCCTTTGGCAATCCATAATAATAGTAATAATAATAATAAGAAGAAGAAGCAATGGTCCTGTTGTATGTACTCTACCCCTGTCAGACCACGTCTCAGATATTTCGTTTACCTCTGGGTACCACACTTTCAGGACATGGATCAGCTAAAGATTGGGCAGAGGAGGATAACCTGAATGGTAAAGGGCTTTACCATCATGCCATCTGAGGATCTGAAGGAACTTGGGGTGTTTGCTTGGAAAAGAGAAGATTCAGGGGACAGATGATAATTGTCTTCAAGGGACTAGCCTTACTCTGTTTGACCCTAGACAGCAGAACTTGCAATAGTGGGTAGACACTGCAAAGCAAATTCAGACTATATATAGCTTGTTTGTACAGATTTGTTTACTTGTCTCCCCCAGTAGAGTGTAAACTCCTTGAGGCAGCTACCATCTTTTGCCTTCCTTTGTATCCCCAGCACTTAGTACAGTGCCTAACATGGTAGGTGCCTAATAAATGTTTGTTGACTGACTAGTCTGATTTAAGGAAATATAATTAGAATTCTCTAAATGTAGGATGGCTTGGTCCTCACCTGGACGTCTTCAAGCAAAGGCTGGATGATCCTTTATTGGGTATGTTAGAGAAGGAATTTCTTTTCAGATATGAATTGGACTAGATAGCCATCGAAACCCCAACCTGCTCTGAGATTCTGTGGTTCTTAGAGGCAACGTAGTGTAGGAAAAAAATGCTAGACTCAGACAGGAACCTACATCTAAATTCTGGTTCTGACACAGTAAGGAGGAAAGAAGGAAGGAAAAAAACATTTATTAAGCACTTACCAAGTGAGCTAAGCTTACCTAGTAAGACCAGTAAGTGAAAACCTAGCTAAGTCACTTAATAATAATAACAGCTGACATTTACATAGTGCTGTGAGGTTTGCCAAGCATTTTACATATGTTATCTCACTCGGCTTTTAAAACAACCCTGTGTAAATGCTATTTTTATCCCATTTTATAGATGAGGAAATTGAGGATTAGAGGAGTGACTTGCCCATAGTCAGTCGAAAAGCTAGTTGAGGTCAGAGTGGGATTCCAGCCTAAATCTTTTAAAGCCAGTATTTTGACCCACTGTGTCAGGTTAAGTATTCACTATTGCTGAGTCTTGGTTTCTTTATTTCTAAAATAGATATGATAACACAAAAAAAGGAAAATAACCAATGTTGGCAGAGCTGTGGGAAAACAGGCACATTGATGCACTGTTGGTGGAGCTGTGGATTTCATTCTGGAAAGATCATTTGGGAACCATGCCCACAAAGTCACTAACCTGTGCATGGTCCTTGACCTAGAAATACCACTACTAGATCTATACCCCAAGGATATCAGTTCTTTTTGTGGTGGTAAAAAACTGGAAACCAAGGAGGAGTGCCTAACAATTGGGGAAATAACTCTGCAAATTACAGTATATGAATGTAATGGAATACTATTGTGTTGGTAGAAATGGAATCAGTTTCAGAGAAACCTGGAAAGACTTGTATGGACTGATGCAGGGTAAAGTGAGCAGAACCATGAGAGCAATTTATACTATAATATAACCATTGTTTTAAAAAAAGCACAATTTAAAAATACTTGAGAACTCAGTGATCACCTATGATTCCGGAGGACTGATGATGAAAAATGCTGCTTGATTCCTGACAAAGAGGTGATGGACTAAACATTTAGAATGAGATACATTTTTGGACTTTTTCAGTGTATTTGTTTTGCTTAATTATGTTTATCTGTTACAAGGGGCTCATTTTCCATTTTTCTTTTTGGGGTAAGAGGGAGGTGGAAAGGAAAAAAAAGAAGTGCCTGATAATTTTTAAAAATGAAAAAATAGATGTAATATCTGTGGTACAATAACTTGTATATAAATGAATTATGATCACAGCTGACATGTACATATATATAAAGGCAATGTGTCTGACCTTGGAGCTAGGAAGACCTGGGTTCTAATTCTAGCTTTAACACATACTGGCTTGTGTGACCCAGGACAAGCAACTTAACCTCTCAGTACCCCCAGGAGACTCTAAGACCATACATTGGAGTAACAGGTGCTGATCTTTATAGATAGAGTAAGTTCCTTACCTGGCATTCCCTACCCCAATAAAATTGCAGGTCTAATCAAAGTGTACATATTTTGTCCTTTACATACATTGCCTCATTTGCTCCTCACTGGGGATCCTAGAAGTTAAGGCATTCACCCAAGGTCATACAGCCAGTAGGTGACTGGGGGGGTGAAAGGGACTTGGAAAGGGGGAGGAAGGGGCTGGTTTGGAAAGGATGTTGAGAATGGATTTATTTTCTCTCCAGGAAGGTATGAGCTTGAGATACATTACAAGGACTGGAAACTCCCATCTTCTCATTCTCTGTCATCAGACCTCCTAACATCAAAGAAAGGTATATACCCAGACCCAACAGAAGCTAGTGAAAGAATAGCAGGAAGATGGAGAAAGATGTGTGTATAGGGGGAGGAGGGAAGCCTGGGGAATATCCAAAGAAGGGCCTCTCCACTCTACTTTCGATTTGAGTCTATATATTTAGCTAGAGCATGCAGATTTCCCCGACATAGACACTTTATATAAAAATAAAACCGATAAGCAAAGCTGAAGTGTCAGGATGCTAATGACTCCAGCAGGTTCCCAGAGAGGAGGGGCCTGGGCCCTGGCTCTGCCTGGGTAATTCTTATGCAGATAGCTGAGAAAGGCGATAGGAGTATAAGGTTATATTTAGTGGGGAGAGCCCCTTTTGAGAAGAGATGAGGTCAGCTCTGAGACCAATAAATCCTGCCTACTACTGGAGAGTCCGAGGAGGGAGCTAGGTAGGGGCAGAACTTAATCCATGGCAAGGGGAAGGAGGACAGAGCTCAGGTTGCCCATAAATTTGAGCCCAAGTATTCAAGTAATTGTGCACAAAGGCAGAGGAAGGCCAGGGAAGGTCAGGAAAGGCCTAATGTTCTGGGTGGCACCCAAGCTGAGCTTTCAAGGAAACTAGAGATTCTAAGAGGCAGAGGTGAGGGGAGGGGACATTGAGGCATAGGGGACAGCCTTTGAAAAGGAATGGGAGGGAAAAAAGCGTGGAATTGGAGAGGGGATATTTGTCCATGTCCAGCAAGAAATCTGATTTGGCTAATCTAAGAGTATATAATGCAAGTGGTATCTAATAAACCTGAAGCTAAACATTTATTCAGCTCCACTGTATGGAGAATATGAAGTTAAATAATAATAATAATAATTCACCTCTATAATATGTTCCTTTTCTCACATTAGCCTTGAAAGGTAGGTAATATAGATATTATTATTCCATTTTGCCCATGAGGAAGCTGAGGTTCAGAAAGGTTAATCAACTTACCCAAACTCATACAATTAGTGTGGGAGCCAGCATGGGAGTCAAGGAATCCAGATCTAATCCATTGGCTCTTAGGACTCCGTTCATAGGACAGTGAAGACAGCAAGCCCATTACTAATGGGAAAAGAGCTGCCTTCTTATGAGCTGCTGGCTACTTCTCTCTTATAGGTAGGGTTGGAAGACCGCAGGTTGGGCCAAAGCTCCTAGTTGATGGAAGAGGGCTCTGGATGCTCTGGATCTCAACTTTGGGAATTCCTTTTCATTCTAGGGCTTAGGAATGAGAAGGCTGCAAAGGGACAGATGGACCAAATGGGGGCTAGAGTGTTGGGTGCTCTGGGAGACAGGTGTATGTATGTTTATACAATGGACTTGCAATGCCTCCACATGCCCATATCTCTGAGCTTTGGGCACCCATTTCACAGGGTACCCAATACACTCTCTGCATGTGTGTGTGTGTGTGTGTGTGTGTGTGTGTGTGTGTGTGTGTGTGTGTGTGTGTATACCTCTACATATACTATTGCCCCAGCCTAGCTCCATACTTCCTCTCCAGACACAAAGGAACCTCTTCCCTGAAGGAGAGCTGGATTCCTTACAACCCATTTCCCTCCTCTCTGCAGATGTTTCCCACCAGCCAGGAAGCCTGGCTCATTACCCTACAACTCTGAAACAAGGGTAGAGAGCTGGGGGAGTAGGACCTCCAGCTCAGTCCCCTGTATCCCATTCACAGAGAGGGCTCTGGGCAGAGGTTGGGCATGGAGGTGGGGGGAGACCCACAGAGCTTCTGCAGCCTTTCCTTCCTCTCCCCATCCAACTCTAGGGAGATAGAGGCTCTTGTAATTCTCCATCCCCAATGCTGAGATAGAAAGAGATCTGAGCAGCATGACAATCCCAGCCTGGGAGCCCCAGGGACTAGCTGGGGATGCTCTCCTCAACAGCAGCGCAGACCTTCTCTCCTCCCCCATTCAACTTCTCCCCCGCTCGGCTCCCAATAACATGTCTGCTGTTCTGCAAATTGGACAGGCATCCCTGGCCCCCGGCGGGATCTGTGGGGGAGCTGGAAACAGTTCTCCCTCCCTGGCTGTGTGGGCAGCAGAGGAGAGTAGTGCCTTAAAAAACCAAGCAAAGCTCAAGCCAGCCACATTCCTTTCCCCTGCCCCTGCAGATGGTCCAAGATATAAACCAAGGGGACCTCCAGCCAAATCTGAGGGGGTTTCCCCTTTCAGCCTATTACCACATGCCCCCAGTGCTTACAGAGAGCAGCTGGGGCTGGGGCTTAAGGCCACCATGGGGCCTGTGTGATGTACTGGAAGCAGCCGTGAATCTGGAGTTGGAGACCAGGGGTTCAAACCTTAACTCTGCTGCTTACTACTTGTGTGACCTTGGAAACACTTCCCTTTCCAAGGCCTCAGTCTCCTCTGTACAATGACGGCTTTAGACCAGATGATCTCTAAGGTGCCTTCCAGTTCAAAATCCTGTGCACGTAGTGCTGTGTCTGGTCAACTAGGGTCATCTCACCCTGGCTGGAGTCAGACGATTCTGCCATTTCCTTGGTCCGTGTTATATAAGAGTTGATGAATGATGCTAAGACACTTTGAATTGGTGTTACAGCCTTAGTTCTCCAGGTGAGGGGGACGAATATCTGCAGGCACAGCTAACATGTATTTACCTGCAAGGCAAGGCTGTTCAAAATAAGGCGCATGAGAGATACTGATTCCACTTCTGAGCTTCCTCCTTCTTTCCATCCTCAGTGTATACACCTTGAGGCCACTTCACATGGCCTGAGAGCTACTTGCCAGAGGGGTAGGTTGGGCATATAAACACAGCTACAGACCCATTGACCCTGGCAGCCAGCAGGACAATTGGACCTTCCCCCTCCCCCACATGCCCCTCTTTAGTAGTACTCTCCTATACTCACCTTGATTTTTTGCTTCTCCATGACAACAGAGCTACCACTCAGAGGCCTGGCAAATGGGAAATTTGTCCTTAGCAACAGGGCCAAATACTAGGGAAAGGACTAGGGATCTATAGGGTACAAAGAGGGTTTTGAAGCCAGGAAAATGAGGGAAGTGGGTCACTTTGAGTCCATGTCAAAGCCCTGGGCTTCAGTATTCCCCTTCTGTAGAACTGGAACAAACAATGCATACTGCATATAGAATACACCTCACTCTCTCTCTCTCTCTCTCTCTCTCTCTCTCTCTCTCTCTCTCTCTCTTTCTCCCCCCCATATAGATAGATACATATAGATATAGATAGATAATATATATGTATATACACTCGATAGATATTTGAATGCTCAAGGAATGCTCAATACTTGAAGGCAGAAATAGTTCAAGGGGCTTTGGGATCCCTGGAGGAGGAAGCAGTGATTAAACTAGACAGAGAGAGTATCCTGAATGACTCCCAGCTCCTGAGTACAGGTAGATTCTGGCATATATGAGATGTACCAGCAGAGACTACCTTCCCTGCACACCAAACCCAAGAGCAAACAGAGCTGCTTTTGGGCCATAGTAAGGGGAATCTAGTCATGTCAAGTCAACTTGCATTTATTAAGTGCCTACTGTGTGCCAGGCGTTATGCTAAGCACAGAGGGTACAAAGAAAGATCAAAACGCTAGCTCTCTGTCTGTCTTCAATGAGCTCGCAGTCTAGTGGGAGCAAACAACTTGTATAAAGAAGCCACATACAGGGTAAGTTGGAGATAATCTCAGAGGGGAGGTACAGGAATTAAGGGGCCTTGGGGAAGACTTCCTGTACAAGGTGGGATTTTAGTTGAGATTTTAAAAAAAAACAACAGGGAAATAGGGAGACAGAGATGAGGAGGGAGGGCATTCCAAGCGCAGCCAGAGAAAAGACACCAGTGGAGTGTCTGGTTCAAGATACAACAAAGAGGCCGGCGTCCTTGGGTCCTAAAGTTGGTGGAAGGGAGTTGATAAGAACACTGAAAAGGTAGAAGGGGGCCACATTATGAAGAACTTTAAAAGCCAAACAGAGGATTTTATATTTGATTTGGGGGGTAATAGGGAGCCACTGAAGTTTATAGACCAGGGGTAATGATATGTGCTTTGGGGAAATCACTTAGATGAATGGAATGTATTCTGGAGTAGAGAAACATTTGACCTTTTGTTTTTGTTGTTGTTAGTCTTGTCTGAGTCTTTGTGACCCCATTTTTTCTTGGCAAAGGTACTGGAGTGGTTTGCTGTTTCCTTTTCCAGGTGAGGAAACTGAGGCAAACGTGGCCAAGTGACTTGTCCAGGATCACACAGCTAGTAAATGTCTGACGCTGGATTTGAACTCAGGAAGATGAGTCTTCCTGCCTCCAAGCCCAGGGCTCTATCCACTTTAATACATAAATAGTATTCTCTTTTCAATCCCTTTAATACACGAATAGTAATAATGATAATTAGCAAGCCGGATGCTAGACCCTGGAGACACAAAGACAGAAATGAAAGTGTCTGCCTTCAAAGAACTTACATGATGTTAGGGGAGATAACATGTACACACAAATGTTCAGAATTAACAGAAATAAATACAATTAGTTTAGGGATAGAAGGCGTTAACAGCTGTGGGGATAAGGAAAGGCTTCATATAAAATGTGGTACTTAAACTGTGGCTCAAAAGAAGTGGGAGATTCTATAAGGTGGAGGTGAAGTGGGAGAGCATCCCAGTGAGAAAAATGATTATTAAATAACTAATTTAATTTAAATTAAATTAAATTAAAACTAATTTAAATAACTAATTGGAGAGACCCAAGATTTTTTTCCTTCCTAGATCCTCATTCTCTGCTAGGCCAAATTAGCATCTGAAGGACATTGTTGAAGGATGAGATTGCTCAGGTTCCTGGGGTATAAGCATTTTGGTCCTGGCTGGGAGCTGTTGCCCCCTTACAAAGAATTTAATCGAAAGTGAACTACGGGCCATTGTGTTCTTCTCTGGCAGGTTTAGGCAGAGGGCAGGGGGTGTAGATCCTTTTGACTAGATTGTCCTATATGGGATGATATGGGTATAGATAAGTCTCTTTGACCAAGAGTGAGTGATCACAGTCACATCTCCCAGCCACTCTCTGGAATAGGTCCACCTCTCATTATAATATTCATCCTCATTCATTGTTGACCAATCAGAGTCGACTGCCACCCTCAGGAACACCCACTCTTCCAAGGGCATAGAAGCATTGAGTAGGTTCCACGAGGGGTCTTTGGCACTCGAGAGTGTCACTGACCCCTTTTATTAATTATTGCTAGCATGATTAACAAAATGATTAATTACTCAGAAACTAAGTCACACCAGACAAGGAGATAGCCAGTGGGAAAACACGGAGATGAGAGGGAGTGCAGTGTGTTGAGGAACGGCATCAGGGTCAGTTTGGCTACTGAGTGTGGGAAGGAGAGCGTCTTTCTAGTGAGACTGAAAAAGTGGGTTGGGTTCAGATTGTGAAGGACTTTGGAAGCCTTATAGGCGTTTTAGTTTATCTTAGAGACAACAGGGAACCACTGGAGTTTATTGATGAGGGGAGTGACTTGGTCAACCCTACACTTAAAAAAAATCATTTTGGCAGCTGTTTGGAGGATGGAGACATAAGGTGGGGACACCAATTAGGGGGCCATTATAATGGTACAGGGAAGAGGTGATGAGGGTCTGAACTAAGGTGTCGGCTGTACAAGTTGTGTGATGGGTGCAAAATGTTGTGGAGGTAGACATGGAAAGATTTACACAGTGGATAGAGGCCTAGACCTAGAGTCAGGAAGATCCAAGTTCAAATCTTGCCTCAGACACTTACCAGCTATGTGATCCTGAGCAAGTCACTTAACCTCCAATTTCTTTTGCCTCAGTTTCTTCATCTGTAAAATGGGGCTAATAGTAGCATTTTATTTGATTATAATAGGGGATGATAATAGCAATAGATCTGATCCTTTCAGGGTTGTGAGGATCAAAGGAGATGTTATTTGTAAAGCATTTTACAAATCTCAAACTGCTACATAGATAGTGGCTACTGTTGTTGAGGATGGGTAGAGGAAGAAAATGCTGAGATTCTGAATCTGGGAGGCTAGAAGGATTGTGGAGTGACCACAATAATAACACACATTTTATGGCGCTTGAAAGCTGACAAAGTGAGAGAGGTAATGTAAGTATTATTATCCTAATTTTTCAAAATAGGAGGCTGAGTCTCAGCAAGGACCATAGAACTTAGAGCCGGAAAGAGCCATGCGGTATCTGTTATTTAATAAAGGGCCATAACATCAGGGTGGGGATGAGATAACAGAAAACAGGGAAGTTGGTGGAACCATTGGCCCAAACACTAGGAAAGGGGGGGAATGCTTGATGGATACAAGCTTGAATCTATGCATGATCTGACCATGAGTCTAGGAATGAAATAGGAACTTTTCTGATTCTTACTTTTTAGATGAAAAAACCAAGCCATAGAGGTTAAGTAACTTTCCCTTCAAACCTAGATCTCCTAAGACATTGAGTCTGGTGACCCTTCTACCACACCATGGGGTTCATCTTCTTCTTAAGATCATAGGATTTAAAGCTTGGTGAGATCTTTGAGGTTAGCTAGTTCAACCTTCCCATTTTATAAAGAAGGACATTGATATCCAAGTTCACACAGGGCAGCAGTGGTAGAGCTGGGATTTGAACCTTGTGGTTTGATTTCATTTGATTTGACCTGAAAAGATTTCCGGAGAGCTTTAGTTAGGGGTGGCTCAGTGCAAAAGAAGCAGGGCTGCATTCCATTTTCCCAGTAAGAAAAGTTTTTAACAACCATCCCCTCCCAGCCCCTCAAACTATCCTGGTTTTAGGTTGCATTAAGAGCAATAGCTTCCACAGCAATTAGGCAACTGTAAATTACAGAGGCGGAGTGTGTTAGCATTTTCTCTGTCGTCTCATTCATTAGCCAGGGTGCTGAAAGGCTACACACATCCCCTGCCTGGAGATGTTTCAGGGCCAAAATGATGATCTGTAATTGTGTCCTCCAAAAAACCTAGACCCTGAAAACTCACTTCTTCAGTGAAACCTCCTGCCCCTCCTGTCTAAATAATGTTGTTGCCAGGGGAGTTTTAACAACAAGGACACTTTGGCAGATTCTCCTAAAGCTTTGGTCTGAAAACGTGTCTCAAAAGCATGAAGAGATTCTTTGAGGTAGAGGTGAAGCAGGAGTGCATCCTGGGTAGGGAGACAGAGAGTCAGTGGGGAAAGATGGAGACAAGAAATGGAGCGTGGTGTGTTGAGAAACAGTGAGGGGTCCAGTTTGGCTAGATTGATTGTGTGGGAAGGAGAGTGTCTATATGTATGCCTTCTAGTGAGACTGGAAAGATGGGTTGGGTCTCCTACACAATAATTTCCATTGGCTCCCTATTACCTCTAGGCTTGAATACAAATTCTTGACATTTAAAGCCCTTCACAACTTGGTCTCAACCTACCTTTCCACCCTTGTTATACAGTATTCCCCTTCACATATATATTGCCTTTTTATTGTTCCTTATATAGAGATGTCCATTTTCCATCCCTGTACCTTTTAACTGGCTTTCTCCATTCCAGGAATGCACTTTCTCCTTACATCTGCCTCTTAAAATCCATAGTTCCTTTCAAGAATCATCTCAAGCACTGTCCTCTACATGAAGGCTCCTCTCATCTCCCTTCTCTCTCAGCAACTAGTGCCTTCCATGAAAAACTATCTTCTATATACTTTGCAATTACCTCTCTCTCTCTCTCTCTCTCTCTCTCTCTCTCTCTCTCTCTCTCTCTCTCTCTCTCTCTCTCTGTCTCTCTCTGTCTCTGTCTCTCTCTGTCTCTGTCTCTCTTTCTCCCTCCCTCCCTCCCTCTCTCTGTCTCTTCTCTGTCTCTTTCTGTGTGTCTCTGTCTCTGTCTCTCTTTCCCTCTCCCTCTCTCTCTTCTTTCTCTCTCTCTCCTCTCTCTCTCTCTCTCTCTCTCTCTCTCTCTCTCTCTCTCTCTCTCGGTCTCTTTCTCTTTCTCTCTGTCTCTCTCTTTCTCTGTCTGTCTCCCTCTCTCCCCCCCTTTCTCCCTCTCTCTCTCTCTCCCCCCCTCTCTCTCCCCCCCTTCTCTCCCTCTCTGTCTCTTTTCTGTCTCTCTCTCTCTCTGTCTCTTCTCTGTCTCTGTGCATCTCTCTCTCTGTCTCTGTCTGTCTCTCTTTCTCTGTCTCTGTCTCTCCCTCCCTCCCTCTCTCTCTCTCTCTCCCTCTGTCTCTTTTCTGTCTCTCTCTCTCTGTGTCTCTGTCTCTGTCTCTCTTTCTCCCTCCCTCCCTCTCTCTCTGTCTCTGTCTCTGTCTCTCTTTCTCCCTCCCTCCCTCTCTCTCTCTGTCTCTCTGTCTCTGTCTCTCTCTCTCTCTCTCTCCCTCTCCCTCTCTCTCTCTCTCTCTCTCCCTCTGTCTCTTCTCTGTCAGTCTGTCTGTCTCTCTGTGTCTCTATCTCTTTCCTCATATATGTATGCATGCATGCATGTATGTATGTATGTATGTGGTCTCCTCTGCTAGATGGTAAACTCCTTAAGGGTAGGCTCTGCTTCCTAGTGGCATGTAGTAAGTGCTTTAAAATGCTTATTGATTGATGAATTGGAGGACTGGGAATCATGGAACTCTAGAACATCACAGCTGGAAGGGGATCTAGTCCAACTCCCTCCTTCTATAGTTGAGGAAATGGAAGCCCAGAAACATTAAGTGACCTGCCCAATAAGGCATATTTTATATGTGGCAGTCAGGTTTTGAATTCATGTCCACTGACTCAAAAACCTGTGTCCTTTCCACTGTAAACATGCCTTTTTTGATGCTTGAGGCTGAAGAAGAATGTGTGCTGAGGGTTTTAGTACTATGGCTCCATCAATGGGAATTGAGAGACAGCATAGTGCAATGGAAGTAGTTCAAGATTTGGAGTCAGGTGCCCTGAGTTCAAATCCTAGCTCTGCCATTTACTGCCTTTGTGACCTTGGGTAAGTCACTGTACCCCCTCTGGGCCTCAGTTTCTTCTTCCGTAAAACAAGAGGTTTGGACTGATGACCCTTCTGGATCTAAAGCTATGATCCTATAATTTCTCTACTCTGATCTTAAAATTAAAATTTGGAGGACCTCTGGGAGGGGAAGTAGAAAAACATGAATTGAGAAGAGGGGGCTTATGTCATCTCCCTTTCCACCAAAGAAGAGGAAACTGGCTCAGGCTGCCTCAGGGAGGGCTGAAGTTTGGACACCAGGAAGAGCTGGCCCCTGGGGAGGAAGCCAGAAGGGTTGGGGAGAGGTTGTGCCATCTTGCACAGATATCTGTATAGAGAATGAGGAACTCTTGCTTCTCCACACCAACCCGAGATGCAGGGGAAGGAGGTACCATTTGGCTTGGATGGTGAACATCGGTGAGCCCTGACTGCTGAAGGATGCCGATTTCTGTCGGCAGTGACCTACACAAATATCTCATCAAAGCATCGTTGCCATAGTGCCAATCTCTGATTGGGGGGCCAAGGCCATCTTCATTCTCTGTTGGGGCCAATCTGGAAGCTGCCAGGAAGGATCCTGAACATGGTGGTATCATTGCATAGAGTGGCCCCCCATTTGGAGAAAGGTAGCTAGATTTCCTGGGCTCCTTTCCCCCTCCCGCCCAGGGCATCTGTGGCTGCGGTGGGAGACAGAGAGCTGCCTGGCAGTTCTGACAGCCTGAGCTTATGGGGAAGGACACAGCCAGAAGCAAAAGCACTTCAGAGCAGAGATGAACAAGAGAACAGCCCAGGAAAGCATGGCCCAGCCGACAGGACTCTGGGTGCCAGGACGGAGACAGATTTACATGCTGTTTGCATATATTTTACATGATATTTCATGTTAAAATGCCACATGGAGTTCAGTGGTCAGTACGCAGGGGGTTTGCAATAAACAATGCTGACAACCTGCCAGGAAAAGAAGTCTCCTCTGGCTTCTGCTCTTCTTCCTCCCCTGCAGTTAATCAGGTTCCTCTCCCCAGGGGTGCCCTCACATCTCCTGATTCTCCTCTCCAGTGCCAGCCTTTCCCTCCTTCTTCATGAGTCCCCAACCGCAGCCTCATTTGATTTGAGGAGGAGAGACATTCTAGTGGTGACTCAGTATGAGGCTAGCTCGGGCTGGACCGATCTCCTTATACTCCCCCTCCTGCAGGCTCAATCTCAGCTCTGCAGGCATCCTCCCTTCCCTGAAAGCAAAGGTTCTTAACCTTTTCTGTGTGAAGCCTATAGACTTGGGCCGTCTATGGATCCACTTCTCAGCATCAGATGTGAAACTTTAAATGCATAAGATGAACCACAGAAGATTGCAAAGGAAACCAATTATACTGAAGTACACTTATCAAAATAATGCACAAATTGTCAGACCCCAGGTTGAGACCCTCCCCCGCTTAGAGCATCTGATCAGGGAAATCTCTGCCTTAAAGAAGCCTGGTTAACTGTGGGGAAGGGGGAAAAGCAGGGGCCAGAGGAGACTTCTTTTCTTGGGGTAGGTACAGACAGCTGGGCCCATCCAGGCTGCGAAGGACCTAAGACCACTTCCCTTCTCTGAGTGAAAACCAGCTGTGGAGCCTGTCCCAGCCTCCCCAGAGGACTCCGCAGGAATGTGGCCCTATGGGACCTTGCCCTTTGCACGTCGTGTGAATCAATCCCTCTAGAGACAAGCTGATCTCTGGAGTCTCAGTTAATTTCCCCAGGGGCCCCTCCCTGACAAGCTTCCCTTTTTTCTGTTGCTTGAAATGGGCTGGGCCTGCTCTGGGACCTGGAGGCCAGCCAGGTGTAGCCTGAGGAAATGGCCTGAGACCTGGGAGAAAGAGAGGGAGAAAGATGGCATGATTGGGACAGAGAGGGGCTGGGGCTGGAGGGAGGAAGGTGGGGAGGTAGGAGGAAGGACGTTAGGGCAGGGAAATGCCTTCCACAGCTGAACCCTTTACCCTAGACCCCCAGACCCCCAAGGGAATTTGTCACGTTCCCCTTACTCTCTGGGTTGGGTGTTAATAAAACCTTGATTCAACAGGACAGGCTTTAAAAGCACTTTTTTTAAAAACTAAGGAATTTAAAGGGAAAAAGAAAACTTCATTTACTGATGCTTTGTGGGGCAGTGAGTCCCCCATCAATAGAGGTATTTTAGGAGAAACGGAACCTTCGTCTAAAAGGTTGTAGGGAGCTTTCTTGATTCAGGTTGGACTAGGTTATCTCTGAAGTATCTTCTAATTCCAAGAGTCTATGATTTTATAACTAAAATAAAACAACAACTTGAAGAACTGCAGGGCAGAGGGAAGCACACTGGTTAGTGTCAGAGAAACTGTGTTCTAATCCTGGTATTCACTATCCATGTGACCTTGGGCAAGTCATTGAACCAACCCTCCCTCCCTCCTCCCCCCTTCAATTTCTTCATCTGTAAAACAAAGGGGTTGGACTAGCTCAGAGCTTCTTAACTCTGTTGTGTGATTGACTGCTTTGATGGACCCCTTTTTAGGATAAAATGAAATTCATTGGATTTCAAAGGAAGCCAATTACATTGAAAGTTATCAAAATATTTTAAAAATATATCACTATATTTTTAAAAGGTTCGTAGACTCAAAGGTAAGAGCTCCTTGGACTAGTTGGTCACTTCCAGCCCTAGATCTAACAGCCTATGACCCTTAGCAGTGTGCTCTGGGACGTATTGTTGACATCTTATAAATTTAAGTACCTTGGGACAAAGCTCTAGTTGCCCCACCCTAGTTCTGGTTCTGGTCACATAGTTCTAAATGGCTGCACCCATTTAAAAGTTCTCTCTTCCCAATTCACAAAACCACCACTTTTCTTTTTTAGCATCCAAACTTCCGTCCCCTTTGTCACCTTCTATCAAAGTTCATACTTCTTTCCTCAATATTGTCAGAATGTAGATAATAGACACATGCTCATTCCATTCAATTTAGGCCCAAAACTCTGCTCACTTCCCTATTTTCTTTGGTATCTTATCTCCACCCTGGTGTTTGGCCCCTTTACTAGAAAGGTACCTCACTGTTTTCCAGTATCACAAATAATTTATGTAGACAATGACCACCAACAGCAAAGCCACAGGCATTTCATCATTCCCTGGGGCTCAGTCTGTGGATGAGACACCAAGGGCATTGAGGGGAGGACAAGGGAGGAGGATCTCCATTTCCTCTCATTTCCCCTTTAGCTGGTGGAGTGAACTAGGTATCCTGACCTGAGGATAAGCGCTCAAGATGGCAGTGGGAGGGCAGGTACCAGCTCTACATGGCTCTAGCACACCTGAATGAGCAGCTCAATACAGAAAGACTCCACCTGAATGAGCAGGCAGGTCCAGTGAAAACAGACCCAAGCACAGCAGGTAGAATGAGGTAAAAAGGACAAACTGAAGGAGTAGGTAAGTGGAGGTCAGATGTATCCAGGAGATGTGGTGCGATGAGGAGAAATACCTGAATGCCCCAGGCTGACCCACATGAGGACTCTCTGCTTAGCAATGGGAGCCATGTCCACAGAAAAAGACCTGAGCTGGTCACGTATTGGTCACTCCTAAGTGACAGGCCTCCTCTTCCAAGGTGGGGCAACTACCTGAAGCTATAGATGGGTGAATGGAAGGGTGTTGCTTCGCCTTACACATTCCTGTTTTCTTGGCTGGGGGAGCAAGGATCTGTTAGTGGATGCCCTCAGGCTGGGAATCATCTTAACTAGACTCTTTCCTGAGTTTTATAAGCCTTAGAGCAGCTCACTATTTGGTGAGGGAACTGATTCTAATATTAACTTCAGAAAGGGAAACAAAGGGCCCTTTATCACTCAGGCTCAGTGTTAGCGTGAGCATCCCTGTGTCCCTCTAGAGACATCTGGGTGGTATAGTAGATAGAATTCTGGGCCATGAACCAGAAAGACCTGAGTTCAAATCCAGCCTCAGGCACTTACTAGCTTTGTGACCCTGGGCAAGTCATTTAACCTCTATTTGCCTCAGTTTCCTCAACTGTAAAATGAGATAATAATCTCATAATAAAACCTACCTCCGAGGGTTATTTTGAGGATCAAATAAAATAATATTTGTAAAGGCTTAACACAATGTCTGGCATGTAGCAGGCACTTAATAAATGCTTGTTTCCTTCCTTTCTCCTTTAGGTGGGGCAGATAGACCTCTCTCCTTTCCTCCATCTTCTTCAGGGAATCAGGTGTCATGGGGGAGGGGAATTCTAGAATACCTTCTTTTTTCTGCTGACATATTTTCTGTTGATATATCTCCACCAGCCTGTGGGAGGGCCATTGGTGGGCAAGAGGAAAGGAGAGATATGGAAGACACATTAATGGAAAGGAACAGGATGAAGAACAGCCTTGACTTCCTTCCAGGTTTTCACCAAAAGGAATGGGAACAAGTTAATAACAACAATAATAATAATTTGTATTCATGTCGCACTTTTAAGAGTTACAAAGAGTTGCATTTCATCCTAACAAGAACCCTATGAAGTACTTGCTATTAATTATCCCAGTTTACAGGTAAGGAGACTGAGGCTCAGAGAGAGTAAGTGAGATTCCAAAGGTCACTCAGTAAATGTCTGAAGTAAGATTTGAACCCAGGTGTTCCTGACTCCAAAGGAAGCAACATGGAAAGATTGACCCTGGAGTCAGAGGAGCTGAGTTCAAATCCTTCCTCTACTACTTATATGACCTTGGGCAAGTCACTTAACCTGGGCCTCTGTTTCCTCTTCTGTAAAATGAGGGAGTTTTACTAGATGACTTCTGAGGTCTTTTCCAGCCCTATTATCTATGATCCTATGTTCCCTAAGGGAGACAGAATGGTATAGTGGAAAGAATAATCAATTTGGAGTCAGAAGATCTAGGTTCAAATCTTGTTTCTGCAACTTCCTATGTGATTTTGGGCAAATCCCTTCACCTCTCTGGACCTCAGTTCCTCATTTGTAAAATCAGGGGTTGGGCTAGATGACTTCTAATTTCTCTTTTATCTCCAAACCTCTCATCCTAAGTTCAACATTTTATCCACTGGGCCAGATTGCTTCTCTACAAGATGGCCTAGAGTGATGGGGTCAGGGGCTAGCTCTCAGCCTCCCAAGCCGGATGACCGTTCTTCCATCCCCTGAAGCTCCACTTGTAGCTCCCAACCAACTGCCACCAATAGGCATGGGTTCTGGCCCCTGACCCTTCAGCAGCCATGGCCATTGAAGACCCAAAGAGGAAGTTCTATCCTTCCAAGTCCTTGGCACTGTCAATTGGCTCAGCATCAAAATGGATACTATCTTATCAGTGGAAATAACATGTACCCTTAGGACTATGAGAACTTTCCATCTTACTTGACTGTGTGTGTTATCTTGTTCTTGTGTGTGTTGTCTCCTCCTATAAGAATGTAAGCTCCTTGAGAACAGGGACTGCTTGGCCTCTCTATTTGTATTCCAGGGTTTTGTCCACAGTAAGAACTTAAATG